CATGTTTTTGGTAGTCACAGCTGGTAGGGGGGAGACTACCACTGACATCTCGTGGGTAGAGGCTGTGTCCCTTAGTGCAGGGGGCAGTCGCCATGACAGAGATGAGCCCCGAGTATCAAAGACGCCAAGCAACCTTCCGGCCCAGCCGGCAGAGGGACAGGTGTCTCCAGCTCCTAAGACGCCGTCTAGCATAGGTAGTCACTGGGGAAGGGTGACAGCGTGGGGACAGGTGTGGCTACACGAGTCACAACTGTCCAGTCAGCTCAGGGGACTTTGGTGCCATGCAGTGGGGGGCTCTAGGGTCACTGACTGCCATTAAGAAGTCCTGGCAAAGTCATCTGGGCAGGAGCCCTGGGTGGGGTGTGGGAGCATCCCTTTAGCCACACAGCAAATGTTCACTGAGCTCCTACTGTGTCCAGTGGGCATCGTGGGTGAGAAAGAAAAAACAAACAAACAATGAAGAGACGATCCCTACCCTTACGGTACTATTAGGTACCATTATACTACTATGAGGTACGGTACTATTAGGAGAGTCAGGCATTGTCACAAGAAACACTTCGACTGTCCTCCAGCCTAGGCATGTGGTCTATGAAAGCCTGTTCTGGGGGAACTGGTCTGGCCTGGAGATCAGGGAATGTTTCTGGGAGGAAGCCACGGAGTGTTTTGCAGAGAGTGGAGACATGCGGAAGCCTGAACCAGTTTCCCTGGTAAGACATCAGGGAAGGGTGTCAGGGAGAGGGAGCAGCGCAGGCAAAGGCCCTAGAGCAAAGGGGCAGGGGAGCAGCCTGTTGGGGGAGGCCGGGCTGCTGCAGCAGGGAGGTGGGAGGGAGCATGGAGGTGGGTCTGGGGGCTCATCTGGGAGACACCAGCAGCCTCAGTGCTCCTGGCTTTGGCTGCTCACAGGAATCACGCTGGGACCTTTGGATGCCACCTGTTCTGATCTCACTGACCTTGGTTCTGAGTTCTTGGGTCTGGGCTTGACCCGGCTATGGGGCTGGTTGAAAACCCCTCCTGTGGGAGATGCTAACGTGCGGCCAGGTTGAACGAGTCCGGAATAGACGTGCGAGGCCTGTGGGGTTGCCCGTGTCTGTCCGTGCCTTAGTAGGGCCGGGCTGCGGCTTGGAGCCTAGGAGGTGGGGCGTGGAGGGGTTTCACAATCAGGTTTGCTCTGGAGGGAGAAACAAAAACACGTGACTGAGTCACATGGGCAAGAAGCCAGAGAAGTCCGGTAGACCCCTGGCCCAGCAGCCAGAGAGACGCTGGTAGGACCAGAGCATCATTGGGGTCAAGCGTGCAGAGAGCCAGGCCAGCCTTCACACCTGACTTTTGACCCGTGTGCATTGGCTTCAGGGCTTCCTACTGCTTGAAAGGGGATGCTCTCTCCTGCAGCAACGCTGAATGAGAAGGAAGCGGGGAGGTCCCATCAGCCAGCGCCAGGGGGTCTGCTCCTGGGAGGTCTGGCCCTGGGGCCACCATTCACTCTGGGGCAAGGGCAGGGGGAGGAGGCGAGCAGGCCTGCTGAAGGGGGTACAGAAGCTGCGAGTTCCCTAACAGGGAGGGCATCAGCAGTGAGTGGAAGGGGAGACAGTGAGTGGAGGTCAGTAGCAGGGCGGGGAGATGGGGTGAACGGAGGCCAGGGTCTGGCTGTCCAAGAACAAGCAGCTCAGGGGACATCTGTTTTCATTCACAGCCTGGAGCAGAGCTGGGCTGGGCTGGGCTGTGCTTAAGGCCAAGTGCCAACTTGAGGCCCTCTTCCACTTGGGGCCGCCCTGGCTTCCAGAGGACATGGTCAGGAGGGGCTGGCAGGGACCAGGTACCCGGTGGGCTCATCCACACCACCCAGCTCCCTGGCTCAGAGAGTGCAGAGGCTTGACCCATGTCACACAGTCCTTTTTGGACCCAGGGCCATCCTCAGGCATGCTGCCTAGGGCCCTCGAGACCTTTAGGGGCTCAGGAAAGTATCTTAATTTCTCTTAATATCAGAACAAACAAACAAAAAAGAATATGTCCCAACTTGGGTTCTATTTGTTTTTTCTTCTTTTCTTTTTTCTTTTTTTAAAAGATTTTATTTATTTATTTGACAGAGAGAAATCACAAGTAGGCAGAGAGAGAGGGGGAAGCAGGCTCCCCGCTGAGAAGAGAGCCCAATGTGGGGCTCAATCCCAGGACCCTGAGATCATGACCTGAGCTGAAGGCAGAGGCTTAGCCCGCTGAGCCACCCAGGCACCCCTCTATTTGTCTTTTCATCAGTGCATTTGTAGTAGATCCTTGATATTTACTAATTTTACCTAGAGGACGGGCCCCACAGCCACGCGCTCTAACCGAGGCTGTCTGTCCAGCCTCATCCTCCAGCACTCAGGTGTGTGTCCGCTTCCCCAGGGAGCCCTGCGAGGCCTCCTCCGTCCAGCGTCCACCCGCCCCCCCCGCCCCTCACCTGCAACTTGGCTCCCCATGAGCACATGGAGCAGTGGTTTCGAGCACAGGCTCTGAAAGCGAGTGTCTGGGAGTGACTCCCAGCTTTGCGAACTGTCCATGATGTCATCTCAGGCAAGTTGCTCATGTCTCTGACCCTCAGTTTCCCTATCTGTAACATCGGGGTAGTAACCGTACCTGACTTGCAGAGTTCAGATAGATGAAATGAGTATGTTTAAAGCCCTCAAGCCATGCCTGCACTGAAAAGTGCTGTCTAACTGTGCGTGAAAATCACGGTTTGGTGAATTCCTGATTTGCCCACTCAGCAGGAAAGCCCAGCAGGGCGGGTTTGGGCCTGGTTTTACTGACCCTGGGATCCCTAGGCCAGGCACCGGGTAGGTACTCAAATGTTTGAATGGATGAACAAATGTATCCTGGTCCTCTTTCTTGTGCCACTATATTTCTTTCTGCTGCAAGTCATTCACACTTTAGTATGATTTATGGATGAAAGTCACCCTGGCCCCTTTCCTAAAGTATGCGCTTGGCTTGATCTGATCACCATGGGAAACATGTTCTGCCTTCCATGGAAAGGCCCAGTGATAGGGCGGGGGAGTTTTATCAGGGGTGGAGGTTCAGGATTTCTTCTTAGACCCTGTGACTGTGGGCCCCGTCCTCTGCTCTGGAGTGGGAGACCCTTAACGTGCTTGTGCCCTTAATATTTCTAAAGGATACTATTTCCTCTTTTTTCAGAGGGAGAGAAGCCCTTGGCGGGCAGCCGCTGTCAGACCCCAGTGGGCCCCTCACTCAGAGCAGACTTGATAAAAGTCCTCCTGGCTCCGAGGCTTTCCCAGAGGAAACCTCCCGCCCCCGGAGCGGCAGGAAGTCACACTCATGGGTTAGTTGGTCCTGGGAGGACAGCCCATGAAGCTTGGGATCAAATCCAGGCTCCGGAACTCAGATAAACCAGAAAGACCTCCACTGCTCGGAACATCAAGTTCCGAGGCCTGGCAGAAAGCCGGGTGGAGCTGGCGGCCCCCCAGTCACGGCAGGTCTCTGGCCCTGGCTGGCCCTGTCGGCGCCCGTGGGGCGGTCCAGCCGGGCTGTCAGGCCAGGAGCCCGTAGTGTAGCTGATCAAAGGAAAGCGGCTGGTTTCCCAGGCAGATTTGTTCCATGGTAACTTCTCTCCTTAGAGCCTTTCTCCTTCCATATTGAGCCTGGAGCACACGTGTGCCCGGGTGTCCCCCTCCTGTCCTAAAGACTTTGGATGGTCATTTCTATAAGTTAATCTTTGCAGGAAATGAATAGATGTGTCCCAGCTCGGTGCCCTGGGTCCCTGGGTCCCTGGGATCCCAGTACTGCCATGGAGCTGATTTCTCAGCCAAAGAGCATGTATTGAGCACCTACTGTGTGCCATCCCGTTCCACGTACTGGGACGGACTTTTGCCCTCCATCTCTCGTCTGCAGATGATGCGTACTTCCTCGGACGGTTGTTGTGATAGCTAAACCTATTCTGTACCCCGATGCGGTACTTGCTGGGGGCTCACGCAGGCCAGGCCCCGTGTAGACAGTGAGCGATGCCTGACCTTGCAGCGCTCACATGGGGGTGTCTGAGCTTCTCCTGCTGCCGGAGCTAAGACCACAAACCCAGTGTCACAGATGAAAGAACTAGGGCAGGCTTTCCCAGTGCCGTATCTACATGGCCAAGCTGGGATGCCACCCAGGTGTGGCTCAGTCTGGGGCCTGGGTCCCTTCTGCTTTCCTGACGGTAGGTCGCAGGGGTCAGATGGGCCTGGGGCCGAGCCCCAACGTGGCCTCCTGCTGCCTGACCTCAGGCAAGTACTTGTGCCTGTTTTCCCGTCTGTGAAATGGGCGTCACAGGGGCTGCTGCGGGCAGGCAGCGGACTGTCGGATACTGAGCACGGCGCTTCCTGCATGTGTACAGAGCACGCACAGGCTGACACAGCTCACTCATGACGCATGTGACCCGGGTCACGGTCAAAACGTCACTGAACTCTCCCAAGGAACACACAATGTAACTGTTGGCACACCCGCATGAGGGAGGACACCAGGGTTCAAGGCGGTGAGTTGTTTTCCCATGGCCACGTGCTCAGCCAGCACCTCTCCCAAAGAAGCTTCTACGGGCAGATGGTTCGTCAGCTCAGCTCAAAACTTGGCCGAGCTAGAAGCCGCCAACCCCCACCCACCTTCCTGGGCCGGTTCCCCTGTGTGCCCGCCCCCACCCGGCCCCGGCCCACCCCCCCCAGCCCCCGCAGCCAGCCACCTCCTTGGGGAGGAGAGACTGCCCCAGTCTGCAAGGAAGTGCTCGTTATCCCAGTGGGACAGGGCAACTCCCAGCCACGTCTCCAAGCCAGCCCTGTGCCCCCTCCTCCTGCCTCCACCGTCTGAACTGCCTGGGCCGCAGACGTCTATGGTGGAGCCTCTGGGGCCAGATGTTATAGGGCCCAGCTAAAAATAACCAGGAGGGCCGGCCACCACCGGGAGTGGCGGTAGGGTAAGGGCATGTGCTGGGCGCCGACGCAGGATCCCAGCAACCTGGCCGAGTGTAGCTAAGAGCCTGGCAGACGGTGCACACTTCGGCTCCCCACTTCCAGCACTCACCCAGCCAGAGGGCCCCTCTTCCCTGAACATGTGGGAGGAAATGCCATTTTCCAGCCGCAGGAGGGGCAGCGGCCGAAGGAAGGTCATCTGGGCTCTCTGCTTCCTGCTGCTTCTCCTCGAAGCCGGCTCTGCCAAGAATCTCTGGAAACGGGCATTGCACACGAGGCTGGCCGAGAAGTCCCGCGTAAGTGCCTGGGGAAGGGAGGCGGGGAGGGGCTGGGCGACCCCCGGATGCTGTCTGTTTGGCAAGTGCTCCCTGCAGACTCGGGCAGGACAGCGGCTTGATCGTCTTGATCGGAGCATGCCAGGGTTGGGGGTGTGGGGAGGGAGGAACTTACCACCCTCAGAAGGCTCCTGGTCTGTAAGCAGAGAAGCAGAGGGCATGCCAGAATGTGCAAGGGGGATTGGGACATGCTTTCGTCTACCAAAGTAGAGTCCTTCTGACAGCACCCACTTTAAGACTCCAGGGATTTGAAACTGAGAGTTTTGTCTCAACAATCAATAACCAGATGTTTATAAAACATAATTAGACATTCATGGGGTTGTTTACTCATTTAGTAAACGGTTAGTGGAAACTGCTCCGGGCCAGGCACTGTGTGTGGTCCCGTGGGGGACAAGATGAAGACGACAACTCCCACCCTTGAGGGTGACATAGTCAGGTGGGGGAGGCAGTCGGGTGACACGTGGTGGTGATACGAGGGGACTGTGCAATGTAGCAAGTGGCAAGAAGCATGTACCTTGGTGCCAGGGGCCCGGGTTTGCATCCAGCCTCTGCAGCTCACCAACTGTGTGACGTTGGGTGAGTTAATGACATCTCTGAGCACCAGTGATCTCATCTGAAAATGAAAGAGTGATGCATTCCTTTTGACAAATGTGTTGGGTCAGCGGTGTTGACGGGGCACCGTCCTAGGCTGTGGGCACACAGACGGCAGGTCTCTGCTTTGGGGAATTCACGATTAGTGAGAGAGGCCGAGGGTAAGGAAGAAATAAGAGGAACATAGTGTGTCTGGTGACAAGTGCCAAGGAGGGACATAGAGCAGGGAGGGGACTAGGAGAGTGAGTGGGGGCGGGAGGGTGGAAGTTTAGCGCCCTCCCACACAGGGGGCACAGAAGCATGGAAGGTCAAGGAGCAGGCTCTGGTGCTCTCAGGATGAAATGACTCAGGACACATGCAACACTTAACACCTAGCGAGCGTTCAGTGCGTCTTGGTGACGTCATTAAGTCACTGGGAAATTGGCACGTGCTTGCCTCCCCTGGTGGAATGTAGGCTTCCCAGGGTGGGGCCTGATTTTGTCTCATTCAGTATAGTGTTCCTGGTGCCCTGCCCGCTGCCTGCCAGTAACTTGGCCCTCTGTACATCCTTGGGAGTGAATTATGGGGAAATGCATTGGAAGCACAGAAGAATGAGTTTGGCTCCACCCAGGAAGAGTCAGGGAGGGTTTTCCAGGGTCAGGGACATTCAACACTGGGTTTTGAAAGATGAATAGGAGTTTTCCAGATAGCTAAGTGGTAAAGGGGAACATTTAATGACTGCTGCCATGGTGAGATGCATGAAACCGTATTGAGGCTCATTGTAGCCTCCTGGATTCACGTTCTGCATGTCAGGCAGGCAGCCTCTGGGAGCGGAACAGAATCGTAGCAAGTGAAGTGGTGGTGGATGCTTGGAGAAGGGAGAGCTTATATGAGACAGCATAATCACAGAAGGCTTCCTGGAGGAGGCAAGATCCTGGCCAGATCTTGAAGAGCTATTAAGAATTAGGGGGAGGAAGGACATTCCTTGAAGAAGAGTCAATGTAGGCAGAGTTCTTGAAGCAAAAACAGTGCATCTGGGAGCCGCTGAGGGGGCAGTCCTCACCACAGGAGGGGGTTTGTTTGTGCAAGGGGGAGAGAGACCCTGCTTGGGTTTGACACTCCCAGGCTCTTTTGCTGGCCTGGCAGGATGATTTCATCTAACAGGGTCGTTAGCACTTTGGTTCTAGGACCACAGAGGGATTTCCAATACATCGTCTAGTCTGATCCCCCCTTTGTCCCAACGTGTCATAGGAGTGGACTGGGTGACATCTCTCTAGGAGGAATGGGGAAGCAGGGTAGTCAGGATGATGTGCATGTGGGCCAGGGAGGGGGTCTTCAGAAACCAAATTGGTCCTAGCCACCGTTTGCCAGAATGCAAGTGCTTTGAGTCTGCCCCTCCCTGGATCGGTGCTCTCCCCTGTCATCAGCAGAAACCAGCATCCCTCCCCAGTGCTGGGACACACGAGAGGTCTGTGCCAGAATCGGCCTCAGAGAAAGCGCCTGGGGAAGGATCCAGGCTGTTGACTTGTGGGCACCCGGCCCACAGATTCATCTCAGTGGCATCTCTAATAAGCTGTGCAGCCTTGGGCCACTCACTGCCCCTCTCTGGTCATTACCTGGGAAACGAAGGGAAGAGATCAGAGGACTTCCAGGGCCCTTGGAAATGTCCAGCAGGGAAATTCGGAATATAGGAAACAGCTCCGCTACACCGAGAAGCATGACTTTCCTACACAGCACCCACCCCCCCACCCCAGACTGAGGCAGGTCTGCAGCCTTGGGCGTGGCCGTCCCGGGAAGTAGGTGCTCCTTCTTAGGACTCTGTCAGTTGCTCGTGCTTGTGCTCCTTCTTACAATTCTGTCTATTCTTGTGGTTAGTAGTGTCTGGGCGTTGTCGGCGCAGGGAGATGGCACGGCTAGTCCCTCCAGCTGTGGGTGGATCGGGCCCAGGGCCCTTCCTGAACCCTTTGTCCCTGTGACTGCCCAAGGACTTAGAGACACAGCAGAGAGGGAGGCACTGCTGCTGTCCCCAAGGAGGCCACTGTAGGGCTTGTCGTAAGAAAGGGGTCTCCCCTCTCGGAGCCTCGGCCCCCCTTCTGCATCATGGGGAGCAGGGGCCTTGACTGTGCCTTCCAGGGAAAAGGGGGCGGGAGCTTTCTGCCCCATGCCTGGCCCAGAGCCCCCTTCTCTACAAGTGCGCTATTAAAAAGAAAACCAGACCAGACAAACGCACAGAACCAAATATTTGGTTCTCCAGGCTGGAGAAGACAGAAGCAGAAAGTGTATAAATAGCCCGGTGACCTTTTTGAGGTGGGGGGAGCTCAGTCCGTTCCCTGGAGCGGGCGTTTGGGGCTTGTCTTCCCTGGCACCTGGGGAAACGGTGCTTTACTGAGCACTTGCTGTGTGTCAGGACAGGCCTTCACCGCGTTAGCTCTCAGGAGCCTCTCGGCAAATCCCACCGCATGGGGCCCATGGCAGCCCCCATGTCGTGGGCGGCCCAACGGTCTCTGCATGTCACTGTGGCTGAGTCTGTTTTGTCTCCTCAGTTGGACGTGGTTGGACAGTTCGCCCGCTGTCCCAGAGGGCCTACCCGGTGGAGGGGCCACGAAGGGCTGCAGGGGCAAGGGGTGCCGTTCTGGGACCCCCCACTAGGACCCCTTCATGCATGCACGCAGCTCTTGGCCCCCAGGAGGCGGCTACCAGCCCCTGCCCACTGTGACCCAGCTTCCTCAGTCTCCCCAAACTGGTTCTCCTTTCCCTTGTTACTTCTGGGAGCTCCGAAACTCTCTATCACATCTCTAAGCTTGGCAAAGTTAGCAAGAACGGGAGATACAGGAGGCCTGGAGCTGTGCATACCTCCTGTCTGCTCTGGTCGTTGGAAGACACTCTCTGTCTGATGGGGGACTCGCCCAGCTGGCACACAGGACAGGTCAAGACGCTAGGGGGTTCACACAATGGGAACACGCGGAACTGAAGGTCAGGCCCCAGCTCCCCCAGTCTGCCTCGGGGTACCAACAGAGCTGGCTGCTAGGGCTTGTCACCAGCACTCCTGATGCTGGACAATTCCAGATGAGGTCATCGAGGCCCTGGTGGAGAGTGTTCTGGCTCAGGACTTTCCTTGCTCCTTGAAAGATGTGAGATCCCACCCCTACAGGACCCCGTCATCAGGACCTCTACGATGCCCCCATTCAGAGGAGCAGGAGCTGCATGTGGGCCCTGGGGTGTTCCTGGCCAAGCCTCTGTGGCTCCTATCTGGGGGCAGGAGAGGGCAAGTGGGATGCAGAAGTGAGACAACCCCGCTGTAGGTTTGGCTGTGGCCTTGTGTCTAGCACAGATCCTGGCACATCGTAGGCATCTAGAATCATTTTAGAAATGCGGCAGGGGTGGTGGTGGGGAGCTGGCTGGCTGGGTGGGTAGATGGAAGGAAAGAAGAAAGAGGAACTGGATAATGTGATTTTGGGGGTGACCTTGGGCAGATCACTTTCTCCTCTCTTGGGCCCAGCTGCCCCATCTGAGGTTCCAGTCCTGAAATTAATCCCAGGTGGAAATGGGCAAGAGAAGAAGCATCCAGGCTGTGTGTGGTTATAATCTGGGAGTGTGCGTGCAAGAGTGTGTGACTGTCTGAGCAGCACTGTGAGTCAAGACCGCCAAAGCTGGAAACAGCCCGAAGGTCTAGAAGCTCCAAGTGAGGAAACAAAATATAACTTCTCCATGCAGTGGAATGTTACAAAAACATTACATTAACGCTATATTAACACCAGCGACAGGACGGATAAGCCCTGAAAACATAGGCTGAGTGAAAGAAGCCAGTCATGGAAGGCCAGGTCCTGTACGATCTCTCTGTACAAAATGTCCAGAAGAGGCAAATTTATAGGGACCGACAGATTAGAGGGGCTGGGAGCCGGGGACAGGGAATGGGGAGGAACTGCTTGGTGAGAATGGGATTTCTGTTCGGGTGATGGAAGCGTTTCAGAAATAGATGCTCTGGTTGCCTGATATTGTGAATTAGTACCACTGAATCGTCGAAAATGGTTAAAGTGGCAAATTTTGTATTATATATATATTCGACCACATTAATTTTAAAGGGGACAGTGGGAACCCAAGGTACAACATGGTAAGGATTCTGAAGGCCCACGGGATCCATGTGGCCTGGGCACTGGACGGTCGTCCCCTCCGTCCCCAGTGCCCCGGGCAAGCATTTCCAGCGCTTGCTCCTGGCCCCGCCAAACCCCGGTCATAGTTGGTCTTAACTTCACGCTCTTCTCCGAAGGCCGTTCCCTTAAATGTTTTCCTATCGTCCCGACCTCTTCAAAGCATTTAGTTCCATTACTATTACCTGTGTGACTGTCGTTTTATTGTGGCTTTAGTTTTCATTAACAACTTTTGCAGATGAC